TTACAATATGTAATACTAGCTTTCGCCCGCTAATATGTCCGCGTATAATTAGAAAAAATAAAAGTGAGTAGCCTATGTGTTCTACCAGGCTATCCTCTACGTCTGTGCCAAATTTCATCGAGATCTATTGAGCCATTTAAGGTACAAAATCAAACAAACATCAAACCATCCATCTAAACTTTCACATTTATAATATTAGTAAGATAAGATAAGAAGTAAGATTAAAGTAGTAAAAAAAGTTTTTGTTTGGGTTTTAAGAAAGCTTTAATAAGTTGACACCAGCTTTTCCAAAGCTGCTTAACCTTGTTATTATTTTACTTGAACATTCTAATTTGAAATCTCTTCAATTGAATTATAATGCGATTGAAGCAATTTGTAGGAACATAGGAAAATAATATTTCTTCGTCTCGCTCAATCGGGTATTACAATTTTGTTGTACAAATATTATTTTAAAAATTATCGCATCTAGATAACAAATCTAAAGAAGAAACAAATCTATATTAGAATTGAATACACGTATATAGGTTAAGCTTTCAATGTTTCTCTCAAGGTCAAAAAGTCAAATGTTTGAATACGGTAAAAAGACATTTTTAAAATGTTCACCAACCTATTATTTTAACACTTAAAACATTTTATTACTCAATATCGACTAAGATAAGATAATAAAAAGGTGAAATCGACAACTAAACTATCTTAAAACAACATACATTGTGTTAATTGGTTGTGCTAAGAAACCACAGTTGTACGAGTACTTTGTTTCCGTTATATTAATATTCAGGTAGCGTCAACAACGCCAATACGCCATCCTCCCTCACTGTACAGACTCAACAAACTAAATCATAAACAAACAACGCAATTAGTTTCTGAACACATCCAACTTTATGGTTATCTTTTTCGTTATTTTTAATCTATGATTTTTTCATTAATTACTTTTTAGAGTAACAAAAAACAAGCGGCAACAATTAAAATTGTTAATGAATATGCAAATGATTAATGAACTATAAAAACAGATAATTTAAATATGAAACATTTACAAGAGAATTAAAAGAACTACCTGTTTACATCTAATTTCAATTTTTTTAAGAAATAAACTGTTTATTTAATGTATCCGTTGCAAGTAAAATAAATGTATTTAGTAGATTTTTAATTAACAGTAAACATTATAAACATAGATTATTTGCGTAAACATATATGAGGTTGAACAGATCTGTGTGCATCATGTAAGATAATTTAGCTACAAGAAGCAGACTGGATCCACCGTTATCCGTCTACAACAGTTTATAACAGATTTGAATTGTATAACCGAACACATCTATTCTAACGTAGAACATAATTATCAAAGGAAAATTTAGATAGAATTAATCGATTTAAAGTAAGAGATTAAATTCATATCTTATAGTTACCAAGTTACTAAAAAAATACTGGTAATTCTTAGAACAAGCGCACACGTATGACTATCACAAATTGTTGTGCGATTGTCGATTGTTTCGCAGCTAATTCAACTGTTTAGTTGCACAACTAAAATTCGAATAGTGGCACAAGCATATAAGCTAATAGGAATCAAAGTGCGACTAAATAGTTGTGCGATAGTTTAGTAAAAGGTTTGCGCGCTCTTAAAGTAAAATTTCATTTGCCATCTAATAGTTTGTATATTCCTCAGATATTATCAATAACACCTAATTTTTATTGTCTAAAAAGTTCGAAATATAAGTCGCGAGATGCAATGCAAGAATTTTTCCTGTGTCCTCACTTGAGAATAAATATTATCATCCATCCCACCTTTTAGTCCCACTATCACCAATAACAGATGGAACAGTTATGAAAGAAAATAAGTTCCGACCGTCCCCTCGTCGCAAAATGTGGGACGGATGAAACTTTTTATTCTCATCTGTTCCCGCGTGGGGACAGAGCGGGGTGACGGTTGGGTTTAATCCCAAGACGCGAAGCTTACGTGAGTGCAAACGTCAGACATTGGCAATGATCGTAACTTAGGTCAGGTGTCAAACGGCTGAGTCAGACGACGTGACGAGAATATCTTGTACCTAAGTATGGACTAAGCTAGCGTACATTAAACTTAGTAGAGTGAACAATGATTGCTTGCAGTTTTAATTTAAAAAATGTAAAGCAAGCATGCTTTATTGTTTTGTTAGTTAAATGCGATTATAGTATATGTACAATTAAATTTTACTGTCTTATTCAGTGTTGCTTAATGGTCGCTCAAAGGCCAATTACTTTAACAAAAAACGGATTTTATTGTATAGTATTTGTAGCTGATATAAAATGTTGAAGAAAGAGTTAAAAAAAAAAAAGACAGAGGATTTGATAACCTCCTTCTTGTGAGAAGTCTGTTATGTTTTACTAAGAATCACAAAAACATGTTCAATTTTATTCAATGTACGCAGATGTGACGTAAGCATTACTTGAAGTAAGATTGGCAAGTAGTCAACAGCGCAATAACATTTATTAAGTAATCGTTTTGACATACATAACTTACAGTGCTATTTTTGGATCCATACTACTAAGTTAGGGAATCTAAGGAATTTTTAAAAATAACAAAACACACTTAAAAGTCATGGTTAACTCTGACTCTTCTACTAATATTGTCGTCCTTTACATTCTCTTTGACTAAACAGAGACAAATAGATATGTTAATATAGGTGCTTTAACAGTGGAAGCCGACAGTAACGTAAACAGAAAGATATTATGTTTGTCAGTCACTTAGACAGAAAGTGTCAAGACCTCAGGGTCAGTTGGAAGGTCGTTTTGTCTTGAAAAAATCTAGAGTACAAGGATCTTTAAAATTCTAAACTCCTGTCCCACCAATTTGCAAATTGTCTGATAACGATCCAACGTGTAAAATATGTGATGGAAATAACGGTTTCTGTTACCTTACAGTGACGTCATTTTTAAGCTATTAGAGCCTCTATCAGCGAGTGGTGGGACAATGCCTAAATAATATAAACGCGTTTTAGATGGATATTTGTTAACTCCAAAACGGCTAAACGTAAAGACTATTGCCCGGTAAAGCTTATACTACTTATAATTCTACGCGGACGAAGTCCTAAGGCAAAAGCTAGTAATATTCTACACTTACTATATTCTTTCATCAACGTGGAAGTGTTGCTGAATTCGATAATGTTTTAACTAGGTTTTAATAACAGATTAAGGTTTTAAGTGACGATAAATGTAGTTGGACCAAATGATATTAACATTAATGGGACCGCCTAGAGCAATCGTTTAAGTCTGTAAATTAATTTGTCGCCTTATCGCTTCTAATTGGATGTTAGATTGTTTCCCAACTCTGAGAGGACGGCTGTCATAGACAAAGTTACATAACAATCGCTAATTAAGACTTTAATTCTTATTCTTTTAATCCGATTTGTAAATACTCGAATTAAATTTAAAAACCGATGAAACTTAGTAAAAACAAATTTTATGAAAATAACTGTCATGATTCTGAGACCGCGTACATATTCACCTTGCGTTTATTTTTCAGACAGGTGGATAGAATTGAGCAAAAAGGTGTTACTTTTGAAATTTTATTGTAAAAAAAACCAGTCCGTGAACAAATCGCTTTACAGCGAGCTCCTTTTTTGCATAACCTGACCGAAAACACTTAAGTTTTTCTTACATAATTATTTCTTAAGTGTTTTAAAATGTAATTTACTAAATTATTTTACTTTAGGTAATTTAGTTCTTATAGTATACAGATAATAATCCAGCTTATATGTGACCCAATCTATACTTCTATACTAATATAATAAAGCGTAAACACAACTTTGTGGCGTAGGATGTCAGTAATCACAGCACATTTTTGAATAATTCTTTATTTAATTAAAAGCCCTATCCTAACGATACGCTTTAGGCGATATATTTTCACGCTATTAAACTTGGAAGATAAATAAATCGGTAAAAAACCTTCAAGTGGGAAAGGGACCATAAACTACTAGCTGCCAACATCAAGGAAGCAAGGTTGTCATGGTTTGTCATCATGACATGTCATTTTGACATTTGCAATTTAACAAATGAAAACAATAAAATATTCTTTTCATAATTTTATGCGGATGAAGTCGCACGGGAACAGTTAGTCTGTAATAAACGGTATGTTGTTACTAAATACGCAATGAACATTTTTTAGCAAATCATAAACAAGTTGTGATCAATCAATATTTAGGGATGGTTAATGCTCAAAGATATTTTACCAATGTACACAAAACAAGGAACTGGAGTTCTGTTTTTGCGTATTAAGGGAGGGGGGAACGCCTTAAAAATATATAGCCTGCCTTCTGGGGAAGACAGCGTTTTGTGGATTGAAGACCATTCAAACCGTCTTAGTGGCCAATCCCGAGTGCAATAGGAGACGGTTCCGGGATCTCCGATGGACGTAAAACTTTTTGGCGAATTTTTAAACAAATTGACATAATAGGAAGCTGGGGAAAAATGTTCTTTTAACAACTTTTAGCGAAAAACAAAGGAAAATTTATCTCATTTAAAAAAAATAAACATAAAATTGATAAATCGTTTTAAAGCGGAGTTCGATCAAATTTTCTTATCATTCACATCTATAAGCTTCGTAAATTTTAAGTCGTCGAATTTAATATTAAAAACAAAATTAATTAATAAACAAGATTTAGAGCATAACTTAGCTTCGAAATTCATTTTATAATTTTGCAAATTAATTTCAAATTGCAATTTGCTCAAAGCTAATTAGAACGACTTGCTTTGTAATTTGACACTTTTACTGCACAGATAAGCTACACTCAGAGAGCACGAATATTTTTTTTTTACACGGACTGATGCCTTACTCTTTCGTATAAAAATGTGTACTATAAAAATATTTATTATGTTCTACAAATATAAACAAGGTTGTTGCAATTAAACTTAAGTGATACAACTCAATAAACTGAAACACTATACCGCCGCCCGACTTCACTCGCCTTTCGAATTAAAGCCTCAAGGCTGTATTAACTTACGATATCAAATTAAAACTTAATACTCACAGAAGGAAAATCCAAATACCAAGTTTAAGTTAATTCACTTCACGTTATTGAAAGAGTGAAACAAAAACGATTTTATGTTTTTATCGTCACTATTTTCGTTAGCGTATACATGCGTACTCGACTGAGTTCCGAGGAGGACTGAGGCGCCCTCTCGCGCGAGGAGAGGGGCTGACCCTCTATACCGCGATACGGCACGCGTGATTAACTTAGATTTTATATGCATTACTCGTATTCAGAGATCCCTGACAGAGAGTATATAAACTTCCTCCATTTTAGTTTATAGTCTATAGTAATATAATAAAGCGTAAACACACACTAATTTGTGGCGTAAGATGTCAGCAATCATAGCATATTTTTGACTAATCTTTCGTTTTGCTTTAGGCTATATATTTTCACGCTATTAAACTTAGGGAATAAATAATTTGGTTAAAAACCATAAGGGACCATAAGCTACATGCTGCCAACATCAAGAAAGTAAGATTACCATGGTTTGTCATCATGTCATTTCATTTTGACATTTGCAATTGATAATTTGACAAATGTAATAAAAGTTTCCTTATTTCATGCGGGTGAAGCCGCACGGGAACAGCTAGTAACCTAAAACATAAAAAACTAGCATTAGTCAAAAGATATTGACTAATTTTAGTGACTAATCCCACAAGTAATAAGTCTGTAAGATTTATTTTATGAATCATGGAAAGCCCAGCTGAAATAAGGACAATCAACATTTTAGATTTTGAGTACTTGAAAGAAAAAAAAAACAATTTGAGAAATCAAAGAGTTTTATTGCCGGTTTCCTAATGTAGTCTTATTAAGAGTTAACTAACCATTAAAACTCTGAGTGGCAGTTAGCATTAAGGATTACTTTTATGAATCGTATTCAAGATGAACTTTCCATATTTTAACCAAAAAACAAGTTATCGCTTGAACGTGCCTATTTCTTATTAAAAATAACTAGTTTTTAATAATTGTTATCATAATGATTCATTGTTTAAAATATGTTACTGTAAAGCCTATTGTAGACAGTTGTGCAAGTGTTATCTTAGCATACCAACAAAAGAACTGAGAATAGGTTAATACGCACAAAAAGGGTTCAGTAAGTCTAATTAAAAAAACTAAAGCTTCTTTTTCACTGCTTAATACTTGCGGAAAACCATGTGTTTTATTCATACAGAAAGAAAGGGATAACTATATTTTTTGCAAATCTTTCAGAAGAAAAACCTTAGTGTAAATTGAGGTATGGGACCATCGGGCGTATCTTCGATTTAATTATATTCTGGTTTGTTTAAAAGATTAATCATGGTACAGTTCATGTTTCAACACGGATTGACTACAATCAGTTTACTAAACTTCCCCACTGAGGGTCTCGGAGTCTACTCTGAGTTAGGGATGCCTGATATGTGCTGGTTGCATCATGATATTTTTCTTCACTGTAAACGTCGAAAAATGTATATTTGAAAAAAGAAAACATATTAATAATCGGCGGGGATCGATTATCGAAATGTAAAAGCACAAGCTTTTATTGGTTTTAGTTTAATTACACCCTATTTCGGATAACATAACCTAAATAATAATAGCTATCTGAAACTAAATAAATACAAATCGAACATAATTATCTAAATAACATACGGAACCTAAACACGTATCGTAACATTCGTGTTAACATCTGAAGTTTCGTTTATTTTTAGTTTTCACGTTCAATGGCACACAGACGCGGCCTATCAGTAACACAATTTTTAAAGCTTACGACATTCTAGGGGAGAGAATAAAAAAAAAGACGGAGAGACAAAGATTAAGAGCGACTTTAAGAAGACAAGATAAGGCGTATGGCAAAAAGTAACTAGTGCGTTATTTTTTTTTGGAAAATGTAACTTATTTTATCTATTACTGTATTGTCTACTTTTGTATGCATTAAAAATATAAAATACTAGCATTCACCCGCGACTCCGTCCTCGTGGAATTAAATAAAAACAAAAGTAAGTCTTGTGTTCTTCCAGACTCTCATCTATCCATCGAGATCCGTTCAGCAGTTAAACCTCTAACAAACATCCATCCATTTAAACATTCGCATTTATAATATAAGTATGATAAAAAGCTGCCAAATATCCTTTCACCTACAAAAATGTGTTCTAATCACTAATCTAAGTAATTTCTAGCAATGTACATTATGAAGCCTTGGCAATTACACGGCGCCATTTTGAAAGAATGCCACTTGCTATTAATCCCATTTCTATCTAAACCTAAGCATCTCGATAATGTGTATAGAATAACAAGCTATTGCTCGCGATTTCTTTCGAGGAAATTAAAAAATATATAGTCTATATCACTCACAGATAAATTACCTTTTTAATAATGAAAGAATTTTTAAAATAGGCGTAGTAGTTTTTGCGTTAATCACATACAAAAATACAAATCTTTCCACTTAATATCTATACTATTATAATAAAGCGTAAACACATACTTCTTTGTTGCCCAATATGTCAGCAATTACAGCATATTTTTGAATAATTCTTTTTTTAATAAAGAGCCCTGCACTTACGTCACGCTTTAGACTATGTATTTTCACGCCATTAAACTTCATTAGTCAGAAAGTTTTTTTCGCAGTAATACACGCGCGGCGGTCGTAGTGCTGTGCACAGATGCATTACGTGATTGCTGCAGAGCCCGCGGCTGTCTCGGGATTAGATTGAACACTACAAAAGCTATAAAAGTGGAACCTATTTCCTAGATCCTTGCGAGTTTATGGTGTTAAACCAACGACTTTTCCGAAATAACCCATTATTTTCTATCGTTACATTATAGTATTTTTGAAGATGACTTAAGTATATCTTACCTATGTTATAATTGAGACAGTTTAGATTGATGAATGTTTGGTAGAGTTTGTAGCCTAAACGGCTGAACGAATTCGGATAAAATTTGGCAAAGAAGCAGGGGATAGTTTTGAAGAACACATAGGATACTTACTTTTGTTTTTTTTATTCCACGAAGACATAGTCGACAGTTAGTTAAAAACAATACAAACGAATTGAGTAGTTACCTCCTTCTTTTGGTAAGTCGGTCAATAATAGAAACACTCGTCTATTATTAGAATATAACAATTTAAACAGTAAAAGTAAACAATAAAAATATTGTAATTAATAATTTATTTAGTAATACCTCTTAACCAGATCAGTCAGTGACAGAGTCAAGTGTGACCTTGTCCGGCCAAGTTTGGGCGCAGCGAATGCTTTCGTTACATCTTCGCGCTCGAATCGTCTTGTTATGGGACGTTTACGATGGCTACGATTATTTTATATTGACTTGAGAAAAGTAGAACTACAAGATTTTATTTAACTATTAGAATAAATAGCTATAAATGCAATAATGTGAACCTCCAATTTTTGTCCTTCCTTTTTTTTTGGTATCGGGAAGGAAATCCATTTCGTCTTCCTATTGCCTCCTATTTGATCTGAATTTACCAGCCATAAATCGAGTATCATTAATCTGAAATTACTTAAATACGTGAAATATTAAATTCGCATCTAATTTCTAACAAAGTTTCAGAGAGGAAGGCTTTACCGGACGGAAAGCTTCTGTCGGTAACGAAGCCGATAATGGCCAAAGTTCGCCTGTGCACAATCCGCTCTGCCCGGGGATGTTAAGCTTCTAAAATAACCTCCAACTAATACAAGGAATTTAAAAGTTCCTTTAACGATATTATTTTTAAAAATGTTTAGTGTTTAAAATATTTGATGTCATTTCTATTTTAGTTTAAGTCTCCAACTGACTCTTTAATTGTCCTTCAAAAAAAATGTTGTTTTAGTTATTTTGTCAGTGAAAACTGACGGTTAGACGTAGAGGATAGTCTGGAGGAACACACACACAACACAGGCTTACATTTGTTTTTTTTTTTAACTCCACGCGGCCGGAGTCGGGGCCAAAGCTCATACATAAGTACACATACCCGTAAGTACACAAAGCTTTCATGCAAAATACCTATTAAATGAACTTCATTAATATGGTACTAAATTAATTCCACACCCCATTATTCGTACGCCCTATTTCGCGTGTAATTTTATCATATAATTGGTTTTAATTAACAAAATTAATTAAATTTTGTATTACGTACGTATGCCCCTTTTGTGAAGCTGACATTTTCGTTTCTCTAGAAATAAAACAAACTTGTATACATTTGTAGAACACAGCTATTATATTTTGTTTCTTTTTTTTTTCTAATTTATTTTACTCAATTTACTAAAGATATGAAATTTCTTTGATAACTTAAACATCTTAGTTTATTTTAGTCCAATCTCACAATGCAATATTGACTAAAGACATACTTTGTTGTCCTTGCCACCCCTGAAATTAAAATTCCTTAACTATTGCTGTTATAAATTGAACTTTAACTTATAGTGATAAGGTACAAATTGCAATACCTTTTAGTGAATAATGCGATACGGGAATGCTAATGTGGGGTGATAAAGAAAAATGTCAACATTAGTATGAATTTCGGCACACCCCTAGTATCCGGTGTCGAGACACCCCTGTCTATCGTATGCAGCAGTTTGCTTGCAATAAAAATTATTCTATTATTATTTTTACGAAAGGATAAACAGAAAATGACTGAAAAAAAGCCTGCAGTAAGTTACTCTGACTGAATGAGATGATTTGCCTCCAATTAAAAAAAAACAATAGTCATTATATTATAGTAGTTATTATTTACGTTACCGCGCATTTCTACAGCCTAAATTTACATAAAACAAAACCGATATCCAAACAAAACACACTAAAAAGTAACAAAATGATTCCTTGAAAATAGTAAACCTCCCTTATTGTAGCTGTTATGTCCATATTGTACAATTATTATTACGTTGATGTCGGTGTCAGCCGAGGTATGCAGTGATATATCTACGTAAGGCTTTCTACATTTTTACCATAACAATTGACAATTGAAAGTATAGTAACGTTTAAGTAATGAATCTACATTGAAATCCTTCTTGTGGGAAGTCGGTCAAAAACATACAGAACTTCCAAAATGTTATATGTCTTAGAAAATAAATTAACAATGTTACTATGTAATTTAATGAAACTTTTTAAACTCTTCGGTACAATGTCTTTTGTCTTTTAACAAATACATCGAAGTCGCAGTTAACAAATCGTTTTCCGCAGACGTCAGACGGTTTTACGATCCCCGGCGTTTAGGGTCGGCTGTTAAATCGATTTTAACTCAATTAAGGGGAACGGAATCGAACATAAAATTGTAAGGGACACTGAATTCATTGTAATTTACTCTATTAAATTAAATGTAATGATGTTTTGTAACAAATGCAGTAACAAGGGTACATTATGTAACCCTTCAAACGCCGCAAGTTATTCCCGCCTTTTTTCCAAATCACAAAACATAAAATTAGAAATTGCTCAAACTTGTCATATGTGGTCAATTGTTTATTTATAAAAACTCCGTAAAAATATTCAATTATAACAATAAATGGTCTTCTGTACAAATCTATACTAATATAATAATGCGTAAACACACACTTCTTTGTTGCCTAAGATGTCAATCACAGCATATTTTCGTATAACACTTTTTTTAATAAAAACCCTACACTTACGTCACGTTTTAGGCTATATATTTTCACGCTGTTAAACTGAGAGGTAAATATTTTGGATAAAGACCCTAATCTGGGAAAGAGACCATAAGTTGTTGCCAACGACAAGGAAGCAAGGTTGCCATGGTTTGTCATGTCATGTCATTTTGACATTTGCAATTGATAATTTGACAAATGTGAACAATAAAATTTAAAATTTTATAATTTCACGCGGATGAAGTCGCACGGGAACAGCAAGTGTTATAATAAGGAAAGATTTGTATTTTTATATTTAGTGAAATAACACAATAACTACTAAACCGATTTCAAAAATTCTTGCACCATTAAAAAGCTATGTTATCACTGCGTAACATAAGGCTACATTTTTGACCGACTTCCCAAAAGAAGGAGGTACTCAATTCGTCTGTATGTTTTTTTTTTTATTTTTTTTTTATGTGTGTTACGGCATTACTCCGCCGTTAGTGGACCGATTTTGATAATTCATTTTTTATCCGAAAGGTAATGCTTGCAGGTGGGTCCCATTTTTTTGTTTGATTTTTG